GCAGTGAGAACAGGTCTTTTAAAAGATACTGCTGAGTGTTCTGCAGGGAAAGACAGAGTCCTTGAGGACCTTGTTGCAATATTCCCGTGCTTTTGGTCTGTGCTGCAGCATGATCCATGCTATCCAGCCACCCATTCCACCTGGAACGATGTGGCATTACTAGTGCAAATCCACATAATTGCTGGGTGGTAAAGATTTCTGTTTCCTCCCATGTTTGCAGTTACCTTATTTCATTCTGTGCTTGTAATTACAATCCAAGAGGTTGTTTGATGCTTACAAAACAATGTGCAGAGTGACAGCTCCCAACCTCTCCAGGTTTCCACCGGAAAATGTTTATGTTTAAGGGGAAAAAAACCTAAAAAATACAGTTTAACTCCAAAATTTACTCCTGTTTAGAGTTTTGATATAGTTTGAAAGGTGCTTTCTGTTATTTGAGATCAGGTCAAGTATTATTGCATTTATATTCAGTAGGAATGGTAGAGAGATGCATTCTGTGAAATTAGAGCATTACTTGATGCTATAGCTTTCAAAACTGGTAGTTCCATCACGTAGAGCAAATAAAGCCTGGTTTCCTCCAGACTTTTGCATTATCCCTGGATTCTCTGGAACTCCACAATTCAAGACTTCTTCCCCTCTCTTGCTTCCAGTTTAAGTGACCGATAAAATTACAACTTACTGGGCATGAGGCCATAACACACAGACAAACACTTTGATTACATAAACCACATTTTCTTAGAAGCCTCTGATAATTAAAGAGAGACTGAAAAATAAAGATTATCTAATAACCAAAGAAAAATGGTTATTGATTACTGATTTCTTAGCAGCATAACGTGAGAAAAGTAGCATCATAGCTGTCTCCATCAAGGAGACTTGCTCCAGCCCACTCAGCCTCTGATTTGGTTATTCTTCAGACACCAGTCTAAATGAGTTGTTTTTCCCACATCTCTTGCTTAGCCCATCTCCAGCACCTTTGGACTCTCCAGATGTACCAGTCTCTTTCACAGTGAGGTTTGAAAAGCAGCACAAGTGAAGAGGGTCAGATCTGATTAAGCTGCATCAAGAATGCCTCTTACAATTTCTGATCATGGAGGGTGTGGAAGTTTAGGGCACTTCAGTTCAGGGCTGTTGGATTATTAAGGATATTGGATTATCCTCTAGCAAACTCTCATGCTGGCTGTGCAGATCCCACACATTTTCTGTCAGGCAGAGTCTCAGCCCCGCCAGCTTGGTCTGTCCTGAGCTCCCCGTGACAGTGACAGTCAATGCTGCCTTTGGAGTGACATGTTTTGAGGATTTGGGAAAAGACCAGTCAGTTTCCATTTGCTGTGACTGTACATCTTCAGCCAGCCTAGGGTCTGTGTGATAATGCTCCTAATTCAGGTTATTTCGTATTTCCTTTATGAGTGAGATTTCATGTGACAAAGTGTCAAACTGATTTACTGATTTCCAAAGGGAAAACGCCTTCTGCTCTTCATCCATTAATTCTCTAATGTAATCGATAAAAGCAATCAGTTGTGTTTTTTTTTTTTTTCCACAGAAGCTAACATGGGATTAATCATCATTGACAAGATTAGGTCAGATTCAGATTTTGCTCTGCCTGACATCAGTTGTGAGAGAGACATTTTTATAAGCAAATTGTGTCCCTGGTAGGGGAGCTGAGCCTCTGGAGTGAAGAGTGCTACGGAAAAGGCTCTGTAGAAAGTGAAAGACCAAACAATTCTTGACCAAAACATATTTAGAAAAACTCTTTTTTCTCATGTGGAGCTGTAATTTCTGGTTGCAGTCACCAAGTCTGTGTGGGGTGCTCTGGAGAGAGGGAAGGCAAGGACACCTGCAAGGGGCCCTGCACAGAAGACTGTGTGGTTTACAATTCAGTCCAAAATTTAAGAAAACTATGATGGACCAAGAGAAGATTTTTTTTGAAGTAGCACTTGCTGTACATGCAGTTTTATGCCATGTCTGTGCAGTTAAGAATAGCCCATGGGTTTGCAGCTCAGAAAACATTTTGATGTCCCTGTGCCTTAACATTGCAGAAAGGCAGGACCGAGTCCTGTAAAACCTTTGAGATGCCACGACAGAGTAAGAAAGGCTCTCATTTCCCTGCAGTTTGTCTTCTAGCTAAATGGCCCATTCCTGCTGCATTTTTCATGTATCATTGATAAAAATGCTTTTGCCACGGTAATGGGAAAGCTGCATCAGCATTTCCCTTGGTCTTGGGTCCATTATGTCATGTTAGCAACTGTGTCGTACTATTCTCTGTTCCTCATGCAGTTCTAATCCTGGTTAATTCTCTGGCAGCATTTGATTTTGCTGACCAAAAAATATCTGTTTTCAGCCTTGAGCAACCTTCAGTTATTTTACAGTGTACATCATACCTTCCCCTGCCCTCCCTGCCCTGTTCCACCTGTATTTATTTACCTTGATTACAATAAATCTGAGGGAGAACTGTGTGCCCTGTGTGCCATCAGTTTTGCCTGTGGGTGTGCTCTGGGTGGGTGGAGAGATTAATTTGTGAGCATGTCTTATTTTTCACCTCATAAAAAAGCATTTTTTTATTTTTTTTATTTAAGTTTTTTGTTCTTTCTCTGGTTTTCATCCTGAACTCTACATGAGGAAAAAAAAAACAAAACAACAAACCCCAAACCAAATGAAAACAACGCAGTTGGTAGTGGCAGAGAAAGTGCCTAAAAATCTCATATATTTTGCATTAATGGTTATCTAACTGTGTTTATGTAGTGCACATAAAGGATTTTTCATCAGCTTACTAGTGAGACGAATGCAATTCATGTAGCTGCTCAAGTTTAAATGTGTTTTAGGGGAGTACCTGTAATTTACAGGAGTATATTTTGTACACCTGTGACAGCATTTTAAAATGAGCTTATTATTAATTATAATAAACTTTGGGGTGATCAGGTTAATTTTTTAATATGATTGTTATTGATTACTTGATTTTTTTATAATAAGTAGAATAATAAAAAATAAAAAAAAAGTTTAATTTCCTAAATTATTTTACAGAGATTTAGGGAAGTACTCTTCAGTTGTTTTGTGAAGCTGCACTGCTTTCCTGTTAAAATTTTTAGATAATGGGCCTGGGTTGAAGTTGAGGGAGACAGAGAAGTCTGACCTGAACAGACACTGCACCTGCCTTAAAGTTCCTGCCTGAAATAGGAATAAAGATACAGCTTTGTCAACAAAAGATTTTGCCTCAAATACTGCAGAAAAAGCTAACGGGCAGTAAGATTTTAGTGTCCTGTTGTGGAAGGAAGTCCTGGTGGTGAAACACCAGGGATTAACTTAAGTTTGTTGGTTTTTTTTCTGTGTCATGTGTGCACTAATTTACACAGGCATTCCTCAAAATGAGCGTTTTCAGTACTTTAACTATGGGTTCCATGTACATGTAGATAATGAAAATACTCTTGTGTTATTGGGTGAGATAATTTGAGCAATATATGGTATGAAAAGTGAATCTCTGAACAGTTTTCCTTGGAGAAAACTGTAGGCAGCAAGAGTTAAATGAGTCATCTACATCTTTTATTGCTAATATCAACACTTTAGCAATGCTAATCAGCTGTACTGATTTTCTGTTTGGATTTTCCTTAATAATTAAGCAAAGGATCTGGAATGCAATCAAGTTTTACTCTAGGGGGTTCATGCAAATTTTTATTTTTTTTTAAATTTTAAATTTTGTTAAATGTATCCTACAAAAGGAAAGTTGCTGAAGTTGAGAATAAAAGAAAAAAAAAAAAGGAAATACCATTTACAGTCCGCTTAATCAGAGTGAATATTTTCAATGAAATCACTACTTCACTGCATTTATTAGCTGAAAATACAGCTGCTCTTTAAATAGCTGCATATAGACTACTTTGCTGTATGTAGAGAAATAGTTACAGACTATGAAATATCTTTCAGCAGCTTGATTTTTCAAGATTAATTTAGGAAAATGGGATCATCTCTGTATCCTCAGATACCTTAGATGTCACAGTTTCTTGTTGTGAGCTTTTTTTATGCTGACATACGAAGTAAGGGTTAAGTAAGACTATTTTGTCTCTTTTTTTTCCCCATGGCCCTATGTTCTTTTTTTCTCATAAAATAAAGTGATTCCTGACATTTGCTTTATTCTGTTCCATAATATTTAAAGTAAGAAATTGCTATTTCTGGATTAATTTACTTGGTTAAAAATGTTTATATTAAATCAAACATATTTACTAGAAATTATTTTCTCATTATATTACAGTTTAGATTAAAGGATCTTATTTATATGAGATATATCTCATATAAACATTAGAATATATGTTAGAATTAATGTGTATATAATATTAGAATTATAATGTAATTATATGATATTAGGTATAATGTTAGAATTGGTGTGTAAGTGAGGAAATAAGGTCAGATGTTCACTGAGACAGAAATGTAGCTTAAGTCATTACAAATAAATTACATGTTAATAGCACCCATTCTGGCATTTGTGGATTAATGACCAGTTGGATTAAGAGTGTTTCAGCACGAAAGTTAAAACAATTTGTTTAGTGAAAGTGTTAGGATAATCTTTTTTAGACCTTCATGTCACTACCACAGCTCTTTTTAATGAGCGTTTATTCTGTTTGGAAACTGTACAGCCAGCTGAGGAGGGGGAATTAAAATAAATTAAATTAAATTTGCTGTGCCTCTCCACTCTCAGCCTTTATCCCAAACCCCAGCTCTGGCTCTCAGAGTGGGCAGAGCCTGGCTGAGCACACCCAGCCTGGGTGGCTGCAGCTGGAGGGGACAGCAGCACCTCTGAGATGCAGTTTTTCCACCAGCTGACCCCGTGTGAAACTGCTCTGTTTGGGTTCTTCTTCTTCTTCCCAAATGGGCATGGTATTGCTGCTGCTGGGCAAGCAGGTGTGTGTTCCTTGAAGTACCCTTTGCTTTAGGTTGATTATAGATGGTCAACATTATTGGCTAGTTTATATTCTGTATGTTATTAATGTATTATTATTTTTATTTTTTTTTCTTCACAGTCACCTCTTTGGAAAGATGGTTCTTCATTTCAACTCCCTTTTTGGCTTCTCTGTCATTCTCCTGTACCACTGGATGGGTTCAGCTGTGTCTTTGAATCTGGAGGATCCCAATGTGTGTAGCCACTGGGAAAGGTAGTACTTTCCTTTTGGAAAAATAAGTGATATAAATTGTGATGTAATCATTTTGCATTGCTTTAGTTGGCATGCTTCAAATTACTGAAAGCTTTTAGCTGAGATTAAAAATGGAGAAAAAAAAATTACCTTTATTGCATGGGCAGGTGAGTTCATGATAAGTAGAAGACTATGGGCTGAAATGCATCTTTGCATTGGGGGTTAGGATGCAAAAAACCACTACAGTGGTACTAGCAATGTTACACAACCATCTGGGTACAAGAAGTGAGTAAAAATAGCTCTTTCCAATTTAGGTGAAAATAAGTTTTACATATGCAAAACATAATTAACCATACTGGAATTTGGCCAAATTTGATTATGCTGATTTTCTCCTATTCAGCACTCACAGCATCTGAATCAAGATTTGTTGTTTAATTATTTTGATGAGGTTCAAAAATTTATAACATGCAAAATTAAATTCATCATCAATGTAGTTGGTCTGTTTGTTCATCCAATTTCATGTGAATTGCAAAATGCCACAATGGGCAGGAGAGGTTGAGCCTCAAGCATCTGCTGAAGTTCTTTCCTTGTGCAAAGGTTATGACAGTGAAAACAAGACTTCTGTTCTCATTATAACTGTTGTGCCTGTAATTGATCAGCTGGTCCATGAGAAAGTCTTAATTTTCACTGTTCAACTTGAGGATGTCAGTATTTTCTGCACTTAATGTAAACTGTGTTTTATGCTAAATCATGGAGAGTGCTGAAGCATTTGGCACCTCTGCCTCAGCTGCTGTGTTTAGTTCATACAACAATGTTTATATGAAGTAGTCACCATAATAAGTACCTGTTCAGAGTAGTCAGGCATTTGTCTATAATGTTACTGGATTCTGTCCTATAATGTGTGCTTTGTTTGCATTTTTTGTAGATAAAAATGGTTTTGGGGGAAGCTACAGGATAGTAAAGGCAGAATGAGAAAGAAACCCTGAAGACAGCTATTCACACTGTGTAATATAATTTAAAACAAGCTAATCAAAGTCTTCAGAAGGAAAAAATATACCGAAAAATGCATCTAGCAAGCATGCCCACTTTGTTCCATGGACATTTTTTCCTTCATGTGCTGTGTCTCAGAAACGGGGCGGAGCTCCAAATAAACTTGGTGGAGCATTCACGCTGCTGCCCAAAGCAGGTGACAAAGGGACAGAAGTATGAAAGGGCAAAGCCCCAGACAGAAGCTCTTGACTGCCACTGGCACTGTTGTGTGCTTTAAATAAAAAATAAACCTCAGTCAGTACTAAAATGGTCTTTACAAATGAACTGTGAGAAGAGCACGGAGCCAGCATCCCACTGGTATTTTGTTGGGCTGGGACAGCTGGGTGGATTAGGGCTGCTTGCCTTCATTCAGGAAAACAGGGAGCAGGGTGTGTGCCTTTAGGGGTGAGTGGCTCTGGATGTGCTTCCCCTTGGTGTAGATGGTGACAGCAGGATGAGGAGACTGTGGCTGTCACCCTGCAGTGGGTGCTCAGGGGTCAGGCTGTGACGAGTGGAAGTGAGGGAGAGCTGGGCAGGCTGTTCAGTGTTTTGGCTGGTCCTGGGAATCAGAATCCTCCTGCTGCAGAAGCTTGCCACGCATTCCTGTATTTTCAAGCTGCCTTGCGCAATCCAGGACTGGCTGCCAGCACAAACAGCCTCTCGAAGAGTTTTCTAGGATGATTCAATATTTTCCCCTTTTGCGACAGGGCTCTGCTCCTGTTGCCCTACTGACAGCTTTGGAGGCTCTCAACATGGATTTGTTTCTAGGACACTGTGTAATTTGGCAAAAAATAAGAGTAGGATTTTGTATAGTGTTTCTGGGGGTGTGGCGTGAATGGTTCTGTGCTGAAAATTATCCAGTAAGCAAAAGAAAGCAGGGTCTTCAGTATTCATTAATTTTGATTGCTGATTGGACTGTTTGGTGGTATGCCTGTAATATAATTTTTCAGTAATTACTACTCAGTTGTATCTCCGTGTTAATATTCACTTAGTGTCTAAATGTTTTCCTGTAGGCCCAGATACAGTTTTTACAAGAAATTTTTCAGAAAGTCCTATTTTTCTATTTTGAGTGATGACAGGAAAAACCTAATTTTCTGTTTCCTTAACTAGCTGTCCAGTTATCCAGTTGCATTAATAAAAGTTTCCACAGGGGAACACCTAATACATGCTGCTGCCATTTGCTGCCTGTTTGAGATACAGGTGTTCTGGTTTTAAGAAAATTTAGGCTAACATTACTTTTCTTTAAATGTCAAGTAGTGGAATTTCATCAAATGTGCTACACAGTAGAAACATGATGACTCTCTGTACGCTTTTCTTCACAAGATTTCTGTTTCGTTTTTTTAGACATGAGTGTTTTGTTACATTTATTCCATTCTGTAAAAGACCTAATGAAATGAGACTGTACTAAAAGCACTTGCTGGATGATCTCCCTTTTTTCTCTCTGTCTCTCCCCAGTTACTCAGTTACAGTGCAAGAGTCATATCCACATCCTTTTGATCAGATTTACTACACCAGTTGTACTGACATCCTGAACTGGTTCAAGTGCACGCGACACAGGTGATGTATAAATCCTAGATTGATGTGTAAATCCTAAATTGACAATAAAAATTGTCAATTTGCTGATATTGTTCAGATTCTTGATTCAAAATCAAGCATGATATGTAGGATTTTTTAGCTGTAGTACCCAGCCTGTCTAACTGCTGTGATCTGTGTCAACTGGGAAATGCCTGTCCAAGGAATATCACTGGCATTTTATCAGCAGGTTGGGGTGTACCATCCCATGGAGTGCTAACAGAAAATGAACAGCTTGTGAAAAACTAAATTCTCCAGACCCTGCAAGGTGTATTTGTTCAGAAATATCATGGATATTTATGCATTACCCCTTGCTGCCTGCAGTGTTGTGTTCTGAGGGTAGTAAGTGTATGCTTCTTGAAAGAAAAGTAAAAAGACTTGTTGAAGGAAACTTCTTGTGCAAGAGGAAAGCAAGGAAGGGATCAGTGATTAAAAACTGGTGACATCTATGAAGGGCATTTTCCTCAGAGGAGTATTCCCATAAGAATGAACCCTTACAAGTGGGAAAAGTGCTGTTTTTTGACCAGCCATGAGCATAAGGCATTTCAGGGAACCCCTTTGACTCTTGAACAACAGATAAATCAAGACCACTTGAAGCATTTCTTTCCTCTTTTCTTACGACACCAGAATGTTTTTTTTAAAATGTACAAGAATATATTCTGTCTTGTTTCTGACCCAAGCTACGTGACAAACACTCACTCCTCTCCTCAGGATCAGCTACCGCACTGCCTACAGACATGGTGAGAAAACGATGTACAGGCGCAAATCCCAGTGCTGCCCCGGATTCTATGAGAGCAGGGAAATGTGTGTCCGTAAGTTCAGCTTTCCTTACTTCCTTTTCTCTTTCTTTGGCTTTGAAATTGCATGCATCCACCCCTGTGCTGGTGTGACTCCCCTCTGGTGGGTAACTTTTGGAGGCCGAGTTGCAGGGTTACTCGTCGATGATGCATGTGCAGCTCTCACTGAGGCCAGCTGGGCTTGTGCAAATGGCAGGATGGTTGGATTTCAGATGTCCCAGTGGCCAGCCAGCCTTGATGTGGTTCTAAATAATGGTCCTGTGGAAAATGCACAGGGCAAGCATCAGTGTTTTCCAACACAGCAAATAAACACCAGGTTTTAAAACCACGAGGAAAATGGAAGTCTTTTCTCCTTGGATCCAGTAGATCCTCATGTTGAACCTCTCTTGGAGACACAGAGGTCTTTTTTGGAGGTCTCACATCCCTTTTTGGAGGTCTCAGAACCTTTTTTGGGTGGGACATGCCCCTGTCTCCTCATCTAACCCACAGCTGCGAAAATTTGTGTCTGGGGGGTCTGGCAGCGACCTTGGCTTAGTTTTTCTCTCTCTTGTGTGGCCTTGTACAGACTTAGGGAGGTCTTAAAATGTTTTTTGCTAAGAACATATTTTACATCCTGGAATTTGGGAAAAAAAAAAAAAGCTTTGATTCAAAACATTTTCTGCATGTGAAAAAGCAAGGTCAAAAATATTTGTAAAAAAAAATATATCTGATATCAGGTTGGGAATGATTTTAGCCTTTTTGTTTGTAATATGTATATATATCAGATTTAAAAGAACCACTTTCTGACTACTTGTGATCGTTACACAGCATATATGAATAATAGTTAATTTTTATTATATTGGTAGTACATTAATATTTATTATATTGGTAGTATACTTTTTGAAGTGTGTTACAGTTTGACTTGTGTGACAAATATGATGGTGATTCTCTTATGTGACTGCAGGTTTTACACAGCCATAGCATATGTAGTAAATTCATTGTGTTAACATAATGATACTCAGAACCTGAAAAATTCAAATTCCATTGGACATACTAATTTTTCCTGTTATTACATAAAAGCATGCCTGATAATGGTACAGGACATATCTGCTCTGACTTCCGAAGTGGTTGCGGAATGCCTCAGACTTTAAATTATGTGAAAATACAGACCCTTCAGTGTAGCTGAGTTTGCATTTATTTGACCTTGGAGGAGAGAGAGAGACCTTCAGCCTTCATAATCTCCAGCTGGAGCATTTCTGTTACTGCAGTTTTATTTTCCATGAAGTGTGGATTATTTTGTTTAGAGGCATGCAAGATGCCTCTAGAAGGCTAAAATCCTTGTGATGCTGTTGATATTTTGTTTGTTTCTCCCTTTATTTGACTTCTCAATTTAGAATGGTAAATTAGAAAAGTCTACTGCTAGATGATTTTGGTATGACTTGACATTGCGTGAATTAGAATTTCATTGCTTCTTCTCAAAAATAATAGGAATCTGTGTTTTATTAGTTGTGGCATTTCACTTAATCTTAATTTAAATTTAATGGTATTAACATTTTAAATCCAACATTATATGGGGTCAGTATTTGGACTGTTTTATAAGAGTGTAGATACCTTGTTTGTAAGTACTAATTACCTTTCACTAAAAAAGAGTGCTTTGTGCTGTCCTCATGAAACTCATGTTTATAGAGGATATAAATAATGTATAAATTTCTCTCTTCTGCCTTCACTATTGCCAGTACCTCTGTGGAACAGTAGGTTGACTGGACCTTGGGTTGTTATTTTTGCTCTTAAAAATTTTGGTGCACATAGCAATGTTTACACCTGATGCACTGAGATGATCTGAATGTAGTTTATGTGCAGATACAAAGGCAGAACAATAATCCTGTGAAGTTCTATAAAGGAGCTTACTCCTGGCCTTAGCAACTCCACCCCAGGCTGAGTGACAGACTAAATTTCTTATTAATTTTAAAGAATTTCCTGCCACTTGTCTGCTGCTATCAGTGGCAATCCCTAGGAGATTTGGCATGATAGGCTTAGCTACAGACTAGAAACTTTTTCAGAAGGAGCTTTTTTATTTATTTTTTTTTTAGCATGTTTCTGGAAAGAAAGATTTCAAAGGCTTTAAGATATTTTCTTGTGGCTTTATTGAAGATGGACACACAAGCAAAGGTTGATTGTTCCTGGCAGCTTGAACATTAACCTCACTTAGTTTCTAACACTGTAATACATTTCTAAGAAACTTAATGGAGACCTTTGTTGAATTTTCTCAAAACATGAAATAGAAAATGAACCATCTATCTTAAGATATAACTGAATATCACTCACTTTACCAGCAAATAGCCATCAAGCACAAGATCAAACAAGGGGTATGTTCTAGCATACAGTGTAGAAGGATTTATTTGAAAAAAAACCTGTTTATAATGTAGATTAATAGATAATTGATTTTTTTTCCCCATGACAAATACTTGTTTCAATGAGTTTGGAAGAAGAAAATACATTTCTTCAAGTTGTCTTTTAACATCAGATAATGAAGGCAAGACTGTAGAAAAGATCTTGACAAAAAACAGTAAGGCACAAATGAGAAGGGCAAATAAGATGTAAAAACAAATGTTAAAGAGTAAACCCAGACTGCTTTTCATACTATAATTGAGCTTTCTCTTGGAAAAAAAGAAGACATGCCAGTTGCTGCCAGGAATTTTTGGTGCTTCTTCATACTGGTCAGTAATAAAAACCCAAAACCTTAATTTTAAGTTTTTCACCTGCAGCTATACATTTTTTTTAATACCATGCCCAACAATTCCACAGAAATAAAGATAAAGTAGTTCACCTCTTCCTGGTATCATTCATGTCTTTTCAGCTTTTTTTTGGTGCTTTTTATGTTGTCCTCATCTCTTCGTAGCTCTGGGTAGTAAATTTTGCTTCTGTCATCCCTGTGTCCACTGTGACATGTTTGGGGTTTTTTTAACATGTCCTGTCTTATACAGATGTAGGAATCAGCTGCCAAGAATCAGTAAGCCCAAAAGGTGTCTGAAGAGTGATTTCTTTTGCTAGAGAACAGATTTTTATGTATATCCAGAATGTGGATCTGTGTGCTCAGCGTGGCACGAGGGGCAGTGCAAGGAGATAGGTCTGGTTTCTTGCAGCTCCTTTCCTTTCCTGTTCTGTTCCAGCTGCCTCACAGAGGAGGTGGTGGAGCGTTGCCTCACTGTATTTAAAGCTCAGTGCTCAGAAATTTGGGCTGAGCATGTTTTCATTCCCTGGGTTATTCACACTACTGCTCACACTGCATGTTCAGAGTGACCTCCTGCTGCCTCAGGCTTTGCTGGCAAGGTTTTTCACACGTTTGGTTTGTGGAGAGCCTCAGTGCCCAAGGCAGCACTAACTAGGAAAGAATCTTCAAAGATACAAGTGATTCATGTCAAGTTACGAGACTAATGGAAAATTGTGATGTATTATTTAAACTCAGTCTTTCCATAATACATAAATAGGCAGCAACACCTTTAGTTAATGCCTTGCTTCATCAAACGTTTAAAAATTATTATTGTCTCTGTTGATTTCTAATGAAGGTCATTTTAATGCATGTCTGAAAAGCAGCTTGTTAGAAATAGTTGGGAATGAAAACTAAAGGCTGTAAAAATAAGCAGTTAACAGCCAAGATCCCATATAATCAAAAATTTATATTTTATATATGATTATGTGGTTTTCCTTTTTCTTGGACGCACTAAATGTAAAGATGACCAATGTGCTTCATCATCTTTAACTAGAGAAAAACCCAGAACATTTGAAAATACTTTACCTAAATATCTAATTACTCTAGAACTTTTTCAATCAATTTAAAACCAGAGTGTAGCCCCTTTAAACTTCTTTTAATGTTTGTCTCTTTCCCCTTGCTAACTTTGTATTCATTGGTAGAGCAGTCAGATTTCTACTTCAGTTTCACTGGGAATGTTGGTACAAAGGAAAATCTCATCCTGTGCACGTTTTCTAAGTTTTAGTGTTGTTCAGAGTAGAAGGAAATTATTGCAGTGCATGTATTTTGGAAAGGTAGGGATGTTTTGTGATTAATATGATGCCAGCAAATTGTTGCTGGTCAGAGATTCTTCCTCTTTGGGTGTATTACATTCTGTCATTGATAATGCTGAATATCAAAGCCATTTCAGTTTTTTTTTAGATGTTTCAAATAAAAGATCTGTTTCAAAGTAAGACTTAACTTAGAGATTTGCTTGCAAAAAACCAAAAAAGAATAGATTTCAGGCAGCCTGTTTAGCACTTAGAATAAAGGTTGCAGTGATTCATAAGGTTTATATGTCGTGCTTTACTTTAATCACTGTAACTGTTTATCCTTCAATTGAACTGTGCAACCATTTGGAAAAGTCAGTATTAAAATACTGTCTGTTGCAAATCATATTTTATCCATGCTGTTGCAAAAGAGAATTTCTTTGGAATGCCTACTGAAGTTTCCCTCTTTTTCTTGGCATGTGGGTTTGCTTCAGAGAGTCACAGGATGGTTGAGGTTGTAAGGGCCCCGTGGAAGTCATCCCATCCAAATTTCAGGCAGGGCCAGCCTTGTCCAGGACCATGGTCAAATGTGTTCCCAGCCTGGATCATTTGGCTCTTTTTTCATTAAATTTGGACAATTTCCTCAGAAGTATTTGAGTAATACTAACACATTTATTAGCTGGAGTTTTCAAACTTAAGAAAAATAGAAGAGACTGAAGTGAAATATATTTTTAAGAGATGCTACCAAACATGAATACACTGGTATTTATTTTGCTTCTAAGAGGTACAATTTTTTGAGACACAAAAGAACTGGGTTAGGACTATTTAAGAGTATTTTAAAGAAGATTTTTCCCAGTGGTAGTATTTCTCTAATTGTTTTATTTTATTCCCTCCTCTGGCAGCTCACTGTGCTGATAAGTGTGTCCATGGCCGTTGTATTGCTCCCAACACCTGTCAGTGTGAGCCTGGCTGGGGAGGACCCAACTGCTCCAGTGGTGAGTTTTCACCTGCTTCTGCCTGTCTTGTACTCTTTCCATGGTGTTATCCTCTCTTCTGGACAGACAATCATCAGTTCTGTGCTTGGGCTTCTGCTGTCTGATCAGGGCTTTTTTCTGAGTTATCAGGTTACTCTGTGTAACCTGATTTTTCTTCATTTACTTGCAAACGGTGTTCCCTCGTAGCAGCACTAATGAGCTTTTTTTTCTTTCTTTCTTTTTTTGTGCTCAGAAACAAGCAGATAGGAAGGTATCTGGAGTACAGACATAATTTTACTTTACATGTAAGAAAAGCTCACAGTTTTTATTTTACTAATGTGCGAAGTTTGATGGTGCCAGGTCACATTTAAAAGTTAGGAGGAAAGCCTTCCTAACAACTCTGTCCTCCTTTTTCATTCTGCCACTGACTCAACCATTTTTCCCTTCACTCTTCACTCCCTGAACTCTCAGTGTCTTTCCATTGTACTCTGGTCAAATTTCTCCCACTTTCTTCTCCTTTCCCTTTGCCATAAGAGCATGTGCAGGAGGTGAGGGGAGCAGAATTGTGCAGAACAGAAACCACTACCTTTTCTTCCCTTTGGTTGAAACACAATTTCTCAAAGTAATTGTTCAATTCATTGTAATTCTTTATTTATTCCAGCCTTGTAACTCCCTTTTTTAAGGTCTTTAAAAATTTATTTTTTGAGGTTGACATAAAATCACATCTTTTGTAACAATCAAGTTCAAGGTGGGTCTCTGCTAGTGACTGTCCAGCTGAAAGAAATGTATTTTAGCCAACAATAAAAACAATTGTATGTACAAGTTAAATTCCATAGACCTTACAAATTTCTAGCAAATGGCAAAGATATTGCACTGATAGTTAACTTAATACATTATTCCTATAAAATTAACAACTCTAATTTATTTTTCTTTTTTTAAAAAAAGGAAGTTTTCTTCGATTTTCAAACATGTTGCTATCATAACTCAGTTCATCTGGAGCTGCTCTGTTGTTCCAGCAGCATGTTTGTTGGCATGAAGAAGAATTTAAGCATTTTAAAATTAATTACACCATTTTTTGTGTAGTTTTCATGTATGCTTACTTGGGATTCATGTATAACTCCAAATAAACACCAAAGTTTTGCATAAGGCATAAAAGTGAGAGAGCCATTGTTCTTTGTAACAGAGTGTTGCTGTAAGACTGGTCTTAATCTAATGTACTGAATTTTCAACATAAATCATCAAAACCTGCTATCTTTCTTTCTGAAAACTTATGTATTGAGCTCTTCTGTAGCTGATCAAACATGCAGAAGAAATGTGAATCATTAGACAGCACAGATTGCAAAAATACTGTTATATTTATTGTAACATATTACGTTACATGTATTTATTAAGATTTTCGAGTCTGAAACTGTGCTTCAGATGAGACAGGAACCTCTAAATCTGCCTTTGGAAATAACCCTTCGTCTCACAGGGTTTCTGGTGTCCATATCTCTTACCTGTCTGGTGTAATTCACTCTGAATACATCTGCAGCTCTTTTCCTCTGCTTCTTCCTCAGCTGCTTGCCTTTTGTGTACCTTTGAACAGTGATCTCTGGAGAGGCTGGTGATCCTCTAAAGGCTCCTGTATAACATTAGGGCTACCTGGAACTGCCAAAATTTGTTTGGGATCACTGGTAGGAGAGGGAGGGAAGGCTGAGGACGTGGGTATTCCTGTACATGTGCTACAGCAACATTTGTTCTGGGATTTATCCCCTTCTGTGTCGACAAACCCAAGAAAGTTACTGATTTCACTCGATTATCCTTCTGAGCTTGAGAGCTGACATTTGCTGCTCTCTGTCCATGGTTTCCTTATCTGAAGAGCTACAACACAGGTCAAACTGAATTGAAAAACAGTGGATAATGTTGGAAATAACAGTAAGTGAGAGGTGCTTGGCTTACTGAGCTTCCTTGTTGCTTGTCCACTGTAAAAGGTTTTGATCCTCTGCCTTTAGTTGGATTTTCTGCATGATCCTGGACTTCTCATTTTAGTCACAGAAAGGTACAACGATACAAAATAAACATCTATGCTTTTTTAATAATATTTTTTTTTATATAGCAAGTTACTAATTCAGTAGGAATAGGTGCGTATTTCCCTACTGTAATGATGTCCATCAAATAAACATTTTCATTACTTAACTGAATGGTGGAACCATATTAGAAAGACAGGCCAATGTTTTTGTAGGGGAAAGGTTCAGGGATTTTATGGCTGCTGATGACCAGATAAAGTGCCCTGACTGAACAGAAGATAATATCCTCAAAGGGTGAGGTATTAGGCCAACTTCCAGATGTAGTCATCTGTTCATTTTCATGGACTCACACATATTGGAAGGAACTGTTCTACCTAGGGACAAAACATTTTGCAAAACTGCAGAACTAAACACTTTCTTCCAAATTGCTGTCCTATCTCTATTGGAATTGTTTATTCTCCTTACAAAGGAATTTTATCTGCAAGTATCTGAGAACAAATTCAGTCCTGTTGCAGCATCTGTCCATCTGCCAACCCCCCAGACTGATTTTTATCTGTTGTTTCTCAGGAGGGAATAATTTTTTTGGGTGACTCCCATTTCCTTTTGTAGCAAATATCACCTCCTTATTGCCATGACTCTTTGCCAATTCCTGAATTGTTTAGGTCAGTGGCTGCTCTTAGTTTAGGGAGAGAAGGCCTAATGTTTGACCAAGAGTGCTGAGCCTGTCTTTTTTCAGTGCTCAATTCTAGCCCAGACCATGACTCTGCTCCCCACCACATCCTCTGCCTTTCTGAAAAAATTACATCCCAGCTGCACAGAAAACAGGATTGGATCTATTCTTCAGCAAGCAAAACCTGAGTGGTGGTCTAGGGGTTTTGTTAATTAAATAACGTTTCCTTGGGGCTTATTTCCTGCACAAGGTGTAATTTTTCTTCAGGTATTTTCTTTTATTTAAAGGAAATAGAGTGTATTAGGCAGTGTTTACTTGCAGTTAAAGTCAGTGTGAGGTGGATCAAGAAGGTGATGAAAATGTAGATAGACCTGAGAGGAAACACCACTTGGATCAAGAGATCACCTCTTTGCAGAGCACTTGCATTCTGGTGGGAGAGATGGCAGTCACGAAAAACAATTTATTCTAATAAAGATTTATTGATTGAACACAACAGGCAGGACAAGGGAGTGCACAGAACATGTGTTGAGTGAGTGAATCAGCAGAATCCATATGCTGTCAGCTCCCCTTTGAAGAAATACTTGTGAATTCCAGAAATATAAGTCGGAGAGTTGTGAGCTGGGGAAGTGCAATATTAACAAAAGCACATGGACTGCTAAATTATAGGTTAAACAGATAGATTTTATTGACTCTAAAAAACTAACACAAAATTTATTGATTTCAGTCAATCAATCAAACAAACTAACACAACTTTTCCCTCCTGAACTAAATTACTGTTTTGTCAAATTTTTTAACTGCCATGTGTCAGATTGGGTTGTTTTGAAAAGTGCTTTTGACTACAGGCTGAGAATAGAATAGTCTTTTGTAGAAGTTGCTACATGTGCTAATAGTTGTACATTTAGACCTTGTTGTACATTTATAATTTATGTTTTCTGCCCATTTTCTGCTCACACTCCTGCAATAGTACTTTATACTTATTTATAAATTTTATTTATTTATATTATATTTTATTTCTATTTATATTATTATCTATTTTATAAGAGACGATATATGAGCCTGATTGTGAGTTTTGAGTGGGCATGCAGTTCAGATCCACAGCCAGGACATCCACTTTGTTTTTCTTCTCATGTCTAGCAGTTCACAGATAATTCCTTCAGAAATCAATAGGACACTTTCTGGATAAGCTGGAGCAGAGGCAAAAATCAATATTACACTGACTTGCCTGAGATGGTTATAGCCTTGTGATCCCCGCAGCTGGCATGAGCGGTAAAGCAAAAAAGGGAATGACGTGTCTTTGGTTTATGACTAAAGCATGGTCAGGATTGTTCATGAAAATGGGAGTAGAATTCTTCCATTTTTACTGTGCTGCAGTAATCTTGAGATCTTTTTGAATGACTGAGTTTTAATTTGTAATTTGATTCAGTTGTTGATTAGTAGAGCTTTATTGGGAGTATGGTCTGAAGGCATCGGAGGAGAAAAAGTGGTATAATAAGACATAATTTGTCTCCAGGGTTTTGTAAAACATGAGAAGAAAATAGGATTTTTCCTTAATACTTTAAGCTTCAGGTTTAAGGCTTGGCCCCTCAGAGAAACCTTTACCTTTAAATGGGCTTATTAAGGTAACTTTTAAACTACAGTAGCTCTGCTACTATCAGATTTCCTTCACAGCCGTGGGTGTTTTGTAAAGTTCGCAAATTCCGTGAAAATCGCTCTGTTTTCTTCATGGGACTTGGCAGATGCAGGCCATGGCAGAAACTGGATCCCTTGGCATTAATGTGTGTGAGACACTCACGTGAGCCACAGGCAGTGCCAGTTTCCCAGTGCAGCCCTTGGTTTCCTTTAACCCTGCAGGGGTGGATGTGTGACTTTTCCACTGCACCCCAAGTGACACAGCCCCTGTGTGGCACCTGCCTGCAACCACCTTGCACACTTTGATGGCACAGAGTCCTCCTAAACTGAGCTTTTTTTATTATTATTTTAATTTTTATTTTATTTTATTTTGCCAGGGCATTGCTTTCCTTTTTCCTTTGTCAAGAGCGTTTTTAACTAATGCAGCTTGCAAGACACGCTTAGGGAGTTAGCTCATCCCTGAGTTTTCCAGGCCATCCAGCAGGCTGCAGAAATGAGTTCTGGTTTTAACCACATCCTTGCATTAGGAAGGCTTGGTTCCCAGAACTGGGGAGCTGGTAAGCACACAGGCAAAACTGCAGAGTATCCTGGCAGAGAGCTGTTTTCTCGTATGGAAAACGGAGAGAAATAGGTTATTTAAGTAGTGCAGAACTGTCCCCAGCCCAGCTCCCAAAAAAAAGTGCCAGCGGGTCATGAACAATCTTAAATTGAACCTG